TCAGTGATATTGTAAGATAATTCATGTAAGATCTTAAGTAAGATCCGGCCTATAAATCTTATCAGTGATATTATAAGATAATTCTTGTAAGATCTTAAGTAAGATCCAGCCTGTAAATCTTATCAGTGATATTATAAGATAATTCTTGCAAGATCTTAAGTAAGATGTGACCTGTAAATTTTATCAGTGATATTGTAAGATAATTCTTGTAAGATCTTAAGTAAGATCCGGCCTATAAATCTTATCAGTGATATTGTAAGATAATTCTTGTAAGATCTTAAGTAAGATCCGGCCTGTAAAGATAAATCTTGTAAGATCTTAAGTAAGATCCAGCCTTTAAATCTGATCAGTGATATTATAAGATAATTCTTGTAAGATCTTAAGTAAGACTATGCCTGTATATGATAGCTAAGATTGATCAGACTAAATCCAAATAAGATCTTATAAGGTTGTTCTTAACTCTTATCTCACCTTATCTCACCTTATCTCATCTGATCAGATTATTCAAGATCTTAGTAAGATTTTTTTCCTGGGTTTACTTCATCCTTATCAAGATGAAACGGATGTGTTGGATACATTTTGCCATAAAAGTAATGAAACTGTATTGGATCATCTTCTCCCATTCCATAGTTAAATTTTGTTTTCTAAAAACAAAGCAATGAGCAGAGAAAAATTATATGCTACTCACGATTGACTTTAAATTGTCTTTAATTTTTTTTCTGGAGATTTCATTCTCAGCTACGCAAATTGCTATAATTTCTTCTTTAGGATTCTGTTGATCAGTGACACGAATTGCTATATCTTCTTCTTTAGGATTCTGTTGATCAGTGACATGAATTGCTATATCTTTTTCTTTAGGATTCTGTTGATCAGCGACACAAATTGCTATATCTTCTTCTTTAGGATTCTGTTGACGTCCAACAAATTTCCATATTTTTCTTTCCTTGATTTTCAGAAAATAATCCTGTGACAAAGATTCATGTAGCTAGCTTGATCCAGTAATTAAGTTACCCTTGCCGTGTCATTAGCTCCATCAACTGCATGCATAGCTATTTGCTAAAGTAGCAGTAAAAATATTTTAGCCATTAAAAACTTACTATTTTTCCATCTCTATTTTCAGTTTTCTTCACTATGAAATCTTCAATTGTATCATCAAGCAATTGAAAGGATTCCTTATCTTCCCAACATTCAAGTAATGGTCTACCATTGACTTGAATATATTTGTTAGCTTCAACTAAAGCAAGTAACATCCTGTTACATAAAAATAATCTTTAAAAGCATTATTGTATTATTGCTAACATCTCCTGTATGACTGCAACTGTCTTGTGCCAGTACACAGTGCGGTGCAGCAGGTTCCTTGTATGAAATAGCTCATAAAGATTGAGTGCATCCTAAAAAACAATAATACAATGTATGAAATGTATTAAAAAGTATACCAATACTTTTTCTCTAGAGCAGATATGATGAAATCCATCATCACATTCCAAAATTTTAGCAGTTTGTGTATACCACCTGTAATTGAATAGTGTCACATCACAAAATTGTGATAACTGTACCTCCAATCAAAATTGTTAGGCAGTCCCACACCACGGGCATCACGGGCAAAGTAGTCCATTTTATCAACATCAATACCAGTGAATCCATTAGCAACAATCTATAGTACATTCAATAACTTATTTCTCAAATTGTAACTGACTTCAAAAAGATAAGACTTCTCTTTATAGCTTTTAGTTCCATCTGGTGTTCTTTTCTTCCAATAATCGTTGAATCTTTTTTCATTATTTAAATTTCGCTGTTCGAAGTCTTCTTTTTCTTCAGACTTCATACCTTTTTCACACTTTTTTTCTTCTTTTTTATATTCCTACCATAATATTAAAATAATTATAAAGGAGCTAGAATTACCTTATAAAATTCAGAAAATGTAATCATATCTTTAACAAGCTCAATGTATTTTCCCCAAATTCCTTCTTTATCGACAGCATCTTTTGGAATGATGATATCTTTATCAACAACAGCCATGATATCATCAATTAGTTGAGCAGATCTGTGTTCATGTGCTGATTTTTCCTATTTACAATCATTAATATAATTGAAAAATGTACTTTTACTTCTTTAAAATGTCTCTTTACTGCAGCATCGTAAAGATGTGAGTAAGGTCCGTGGCCTGTATACATCATTGCCGGATTACATTTAAGTACCTAAATTAACCTATTATTAACTCACCTAGATCATGACACAGAGCAGCAATTTGAATACACTTCTTTTCATTGGGGGTTATAATATTTTGTTGATTTTTGTTTAATGCATCAACTAATTGACTAGCAATATAACATACCCTGTCAGAAAATAACTAAAATTATACTTTATGTAGTATTAACTTTACCCAATTGAGTGTTCAAATCTTGTATGAGTAGCTCCAGGATATACATAACACACACCACCTAAAAAGTGAGATATACATGTATTAATGCTAAGTACATGTCAGTAGTCTACAACAAAATGCTTATATATAAACAGTTAC